GGGTTTACTATTTTCTATCAGAGCTTTGTGATTAATGCAATTTATAAAGAAAGAGAGAATGAAAATTATTTCTATTGCTAGTATTAATTACTTTACAATATAATTTTAAGGATCACTGAGCTTCCATCTCATCTTTAATAGGCCAGACAATGCTGTGGGGTGATGCATGCTAGGAGGTCACAAAAACAAAAGATTCTGCTTTTGCTGCAGGCAAATGCTGATAAACCCTAGAGCTATGCTTTTTATAGACTTCTGTTCCACGCTTCAGTGCAGAGAGCAAGAAAAAATAACAGGGTTCAGGTTTGGGCAGATGGTTGGACATTTTAAATAAAAATAAATAAATAAAATAAGATATTAGATAAAATAATATTTAGAAACATATCTTTAGATCTCGATTGTAATCTGTGATTTTGCTAGCAATTATCACATGAAGGGGAGTCTTAGAAGGCAGAGGAACACAATGACGTAGTGTTTTGCTTTCTCCCCTCTCCCCATCCTGGGCAAGTTCCCAGTGAGACCCCCCACCCCCACCTCAACAACACCACCAGCACCACTCCAACCTGGGTCCTTGCCAGACTGTGAATGAATGAGGAGGTCCTAACCAGTCTACTATCTTCGTTTGATGTGGAGCACTGAGCTTTCTCTGTTTGTAGGATAGCTGCTTGCAGCTCACCACCAAAACATTTAGACTGAAAGAGTAAAAGTCAGGATTATAATCTGTATCAAATCCACCTCATTTCTAAAAAGGCAGAGTAGCTAATGACAAATTTCACATCATATGGATTAAATCATAAATAAACAACTTAGATGTCACTAATACATAAAGCATGGAAGCAAGAGGAAACAGGAATTTCACAAACGGCAAAACAGAGTGGAGGCCAAGCCGCAAGCTGCTGCTTCTGTGCTCTCCCCAATGGTCAGATTTGGTTGCTGCCTAAGTACCATATTTGGGGAAGAGACTTTCTGCATAAAGAAGATTAGTGTTGGTTGTTTAAGGGCTTGGGGGAGAAGATTTACCATTATTACCAACCCCAGTGAAAAGAGTGGAAGCCAGTCACAATCTGATGCCAACACTTGCCAAGAAAGAGAAATGTTAATTGAACCAAGCCACACACCATATGGGAGAGATTATGATGTGTGCGGGTCATGAAGAGAATGACAAAGATTAGGTGACCTCGGAGAGTGATAGATGATTTAGAGAGATTAACAATATAGAGCACAGATCGGCACTGTTAGAACTGGGAGGTGGCCTATTAGCCTTTAAAGTTATGCAATGCCACAAGTATGATTGTTAAAGTCTTTAGAAGTAGAGGAAATTTAGAGTCGCCCATAGGCATTGAACAGAGCAGAGAGTCCTGAGGCTTAAATTAAAGAAGTCATTTTTGTGATGCAATCTTCTAACTCATGAGAGGAACAGTGGATAACCAATGGGAGAGAAGCAGACAGCATTAATTTGCTAGCAAACACCGTCTCATTGTTACATCAGAAATCAAAGGGGTACAGTAGGAGAAAGAGCGCTGTTTGTCTAATTACAAGTGCAGTGTGAAGTCGGAAGAGTACTTGTCATCTCTCAAAGGCTTTACAGACAACTTTGGACTCGGATCTACATTCACAGATGTCATTGGCCATCAGCATATATATGCACCAAGACTAAATAAGTTTTTGATATTGTTAAGTAGAAGAGAAACCAAATACTGCCCACCCTTTATTTTTTAGCTCTGTATCCATTTCACATTCCTCTGTGCCAAAGACATCATCATGCCAACAGTGCATGCTGTCAGATGCAGCAGTAGGCCAACTTAATCACTCATCTGCTTCTGACCTGCACTGTCAACATGGAGGAACAGAGAGAGAGACACACTGGTATTCGCCAACCAAACTGGATTAACATGATTTTGATGAAAACCAATAGAGTTGTTTCATGTGGACAACACAGTACTCTGTCCTCAGTACCTCCCTCATGAAAAAAGAATCCAATAATGAAACTTAGAAGGAAAATGAACAGACATCACAACAACATGGAGTCTCGGGAGGAATTTTTTCCAGTGACACTCAATATAAGCTAACTATTAAATAACATAGACACACAGGCAAATGTCTGTAAGGTATATACAGGACACTGATTATATGTTGGCATCATAATATAACAAGAGTGTTATAGTGACACAGCGACAGATACGACGTGTAACCCAACAGGCACCACAAATGTACTGAGTACCCTGAACACACTGTGACTCCCTATTCTAAGTTTTTGTTGACAGTGCAAGGAGTTAAAGGTTGTCCTGCACCCATTACCTACCTACAGCATCTGAGCTGCACAATTGCTATGAATGGAGAATTCCTGCATGACAACCACCTGCATAATCTCTGCATGAATTTTCTGGCTGTCTTTAATTAAATATAACGTTCATGATAATCTTTAGAAAAAAGCAATGGTACACACTCAATTGGCGAGAGATTAAAAATATCATACATTATGATAATGTGTATTATGATAGTGTTTTTTATTTTCTATTATAAATCCAAAAACAGAGTAGGGTATTAATCTCAAAGAGAACCCAGGTCCTGTAATCATATGATTGAATATTAAATAAGCTGATGAGCATATAGTGGCAGTTTGTACATTAATTGTTAGTGACATAAAAAACAACATGACAATCTTACTACTTACCAATTCTCAGGACTTGCTGTGAAGTGAGCCAAAACTCTGCCATAAAGTACAGCAGTGAAAATAACAGTCCCTTCCTTTTCGCCATGGTCCTCCCTCCAGAGTCGAATTTAACATTGATATCAGTTTTTCTGCCCTTGGTAAATCATGCTGATAAGTTGCCAGTCCTTGTATCCGTAACGAAAGTAAACTGGTATCCGACCCACATCCATCCCTCACACATTGTGATGAGAAAAAAACAACAAAAACAGACACTCCACTTGCAGCTCTCAGTGATCAAAAGGACTCCAGTTTTCCCATTCTAAAATCCTTTATGTGCCATTAAGGTTTTGCTTCCCATATTCACTGTTCAGACGTCCCTCTTATCATGTTTTTTTTTTTCTGATGCACACTTGAATTGTAGTCTGCAACTGAGGAGGAGGACCGTGCGCTGTGCTCTTGCTGTCAAGCTTGTGCAAATAGAAAATGGCATTTCTGGTTACAACTTTCAAAATAAAAGATGAATTGGCAACCGTGTGGCAACAATAGAGAAAATCAACATCACAATCAACAGCACAGAAATGAGCTCCATATATTTCGTGTCATTAAATTTGTATTTTAAACAAAAGAATCAAAATACCAAGCATCCAACACAATTTTTGCTGCAGATCATGTGTATATGTTTGTGTTTATAGTTTCCCATTAAATATTGTTATATATTTATTTGTTATTGTAGAAATTATTCATACTTTTCCCTACATACAGCTAATTCCCATATTTAACTAAACTTGAGTTGCTTATGATTCTCAATCCCAAAGCCTTTAGTCATGTAAATTTTCAATTTAAATGTTTAGATGGATTTTTCAACTAAACTTGTGTTGCTTAGAATTCGGTTTCCTCAATCCCAAAGCTTTCAGTAATGTAAAATATTCAATTTAAAAGTTTAGATGGCTTTTTCTGCATCTGCTGCTACATAATTTACTTTAATTAATTGAATGCTTTTATTATGAAATCAAGCTTGCCTTGCTTCCGGTCTCACTCTCACTGTCTTTGGCTGACTCGACACAGCTGAGCGTACCTCCCGTGCAGGCGCTCAATTGAGGGCACAGCCAAGCCACTAATCCACAAACATGGATACGTCCTGAAGATTAACTTCAAATCTGGCAACATTCGACCTCGACAACGTCTTTGCTTTGGTACACCGAGGAATGATTAAATCTTTGCTCCAGTCCTGATGGAAATGCAAATCTAATCTTCAAACTGGTCTGTGACGCTCCCTTGAAGATTAACTACCTCAAACTGTTTATCTGACACAGTCTCATAGTAAAATAAAATGTGTTCACATCACCTTAACCTACTTTGTTTTTTTCCTTGAAAAAGAGTGGTTTTGGATGGAAGTTAAAAAGTTATCATGGTTGCTCAGTTGCACCAATCAGTAACTGGCAATGATGCTCCAAACCACATCTCCCCAAGCAAGGGAGAAGCATCAGGGGTGCTGATGTGTTTCTTGGGATTAGTGTAATTTTACTATTTTAATCCCCCAGAAATTAGAAAAATTAGAGACTGATAGTTGAGAATGATTTCTCGATTTACACACTGCAAGAATATATATAATTAATTGACTTTTTATCAAAGGTGCTGTGCAATTTTAAGTCTATATTGAAGATGAAACAGTAAAAGCTGGGTAAACTAGAAAACAAGTAGCCTACAAAATGCGGCTGCCTTGTTTCGACAGCAGAAACCCAATTTCAATTCTTTACCCCCCAAAAAAAGTCCAGATGAAGAATAAGGATGCAATATGATATGATGAACTTACTCCACCATGTTTATTATTTATTGGTGTAGCCAGTAGCCCAAATAAGGTTTTCATGTTTTCAATTTATTCCCTTAATATGAAGTTGTTCAGATTTAGCTAATGAAATGCAGTGGAAGGAGGGCATTACTCCTCTGACACCTGCAGTGTAAGAATAGAAGATTGCACTCTGTCCAGGGTTTAGGACACTCTGGTTCTCTGGCGGCATCTTGTGGCGAATAATGAATGATCTTGGATTGGTTCAGGCCACCATGGAGTTAGCATTGTCAGGAATTTTTAACTGCCAGTATATCGTTGCTCAAGCAATAATTATAACACAAAGTATTTGCTGTTGTTGATCCAAAGCGGATTTATATATTCAGAAGCACAGTTCCATAGCTCTCATCTTTTTCTCTGTGAAGGTCCATCCAGGTAGTCCCACTTTAAGGGTTGTTAGGGTTACTTTAAATGTAATCTTAACTTGATTACTACGTCATAGTTTTGGATTAACTCAATACTAAATATGTAAATAAAGACAAAAGCAAGAACTTTGTTTACATTATTCTGTATGTTCATTTTTACACCAAAAATAGGCTTGAATAGGCTTTAAAACAACACCTTTACTGCTACCACACTGTATATAGTGACATTTATTATTGTTTGCATTTCTAACATTTTATTTTGGACATCAATTTTTAGATTTTTTACTGCAACATAGTCTATCCTAGCAGCAAACATCTGCAATATACAGGGAAACATTATAAATAGGTTGCAAGTCGAACATAGGGCAAATACAGATTCTGATTCTACATGAACTGCATATCTTTGGAAAACTCCCCAGGGGAACATAAAAATTACACACAAACCCAAAGTTGCTGAGTGAACTGCTGCATTCTACAAACTGTGCCTGCCAATCACTAAGCATTAATGATGATGCTAATACAAACTATTAGAAAAATAACTATAAGTAGGCAATTTTATTATACTGCACCGCATAGCTTAAATTTGAGTGGTTGTAAAAATATCTTGATTGTAAAAGACATTAAAAACAAAACACACTGAAACACATTCAATGATAACCACAGCAGATTAAAAACTATAATGAACAGATGGTTACAAAGAAACATAAGGCTATGGTGTTGCAAACAGATGGTTTCTCATAAATCTCTCTACTTTGGGAAAGTAAACCCATACCAGGGCTTAATGAAAACAGCATAATGTCACCTTTATTTACACTAACAACAACAGCAGTTATGTTCAAGCTGATCAAATAACCAATTTTTTCGACAAAACAAATTATAAAAAGTGTAATAATAGTAGAAAAAGAGTCAAAAAAGCTATTTAGTTAATATAAGCAGAGATAACATGATTTACCTTCATCTTGCCCTAGCAGTTTAAATTACCTTGTGCTGATCGACTGTAAAAGAAAAGTTCTTGGTGTTGGTAAGTTTAAGAAGCAACAAACATTTTTCTTTATATATATACACCAGCACTACTCCCACTGTGAGATTCTGGTGGAATTCTTGATGCTTTATATCCTATGAAAACAGGAGTGTGCGAAACCGGATGAAAACTCGACTGGTAGGACGCAGTGGGATTGCCGGTATAAGCCAGTGTATATGGTGTGGTGTTTTGGCTTATGTACAAGGAGTTGCCTGGCGTATACAGGCTTCCAACATGGTTAGAACTCTGCATAGAGGAATGGTGAGCCATGCTACCTTGATATAACAATGATGCATTTTCAGGCAGTCCCGGGTTGTAGACAACATGTTGGTTGATTAGTGCTCCATCATTTCTCATTACTTGAGGGATATTTTGCAGTGGCATTGCAAGTTGTTGTTCAGCAGAGCCGTTGTTCAGCAGAGAAGGATGGTATACAGTGGATGGGAGACTGGAAAGACTCGAGATAGGATGATACCTCATTGGAGTCTGCTTTGTGGGTGCTTGCTTGTAACTGAGCAAGTTGGCTGGGTGGTATACATCAATTGAGCCTTTGTCTGAGGGAATACGGCGACAGACGAACAACATGGCTGAGGCGAAAAGGAAGGCGCCGGTTACCCAACCGATGTAGAGAGCCTCTCCCAGCTCCCTCCTCTGGGCATCAATTAGCAAAGGATTGTAAAAATCCCTAATGATGACATGACCTGTCCACGACACAGGGATGAAGACACAGATACAGGCCATGAACTGCATACCACCTGCAACTATTAGGATAATGGTCTTAGCCCGATCATTGCCCTGAAAACAGGAAATACATCGCATTCCTCCCAGAGCCACAAGGAGCCCCAGCCCAGACAAGGCCAAAGAACAGCACATCAGACCCCTGGCTGCCTGTAAGTCCGGGGGCAGGAACAGCAGGGAGTCATACACCTTACACTGCATCCTGATGTTGGCCTGTCTGTAGCAGTTCATCCACAAGCCTTCCCAGCGGGTTTCCATCACAATTATGTTCTCCCCAATGAAAGCTGTCACCTTCCACATGGGCATCCCTGTAGTAGCCGCCGCCCCAATCAGCCCAATCAGGCCGACAAACATTGCGGCTATTTCGGCAGCATCTTGAACCATTGTGCAGTTTAGCTGTGTCCAAATCCAAAAATTAGGTTAGCTCACCTTGACACCAAAAAATTTGATGCTTTAGTACAACATCTCATAATCAAGTCAAAGACGTGTTCATAGCAGCGAGGATCTTCTCATCTGACGCAGTTTGTATGCAAGAGGTGGTTTGTTATGGGAAAAAGGCTCTGCCGTCACCTGGTTGGCTCAGAGCAATGGGGGTAAAGAAGACCTCACCTTATTTTGTGTTTATGGTTCCTCTAGCTATAGTGGTATATCTGTGCCATCAGCTTCTCTAGGAATAAACACAAACAAGAATACCAGAAATACCAGAAAAAGCTCAAAACTTCAGAGAAGTGTTTGTCACTTGCCATGATTTTATTCTTCATAATAATATGTGATTAAAAATACAGAAGCAAACATATATACAATGTAATACAGAAGCTTCTGCAGTACTTCTGTTGTCCACAGGGGAGCAGAAAAGACTTTCAAGGTGATGGAACAGAGAGGGAGCTCACTTCACACAGTCAAAATACAGTTAATGATTAGTGATTTTGGTGTCAACAATAGGAAAAGACAACATTACATCACCAAACATTTTTAGTATGAAACGGCATTGAAATAACTTTTACTATACAATTACTGTGAGTCACACAGATTTTTTTTTTCTGTTTGAAAATATAATTGCTTCCAGTATATTAGCAGTTGAGATTATCCAGTTGTACTTGTAGCTTGCTTTTAAACTCACCAAAAGTGAAATAAGGTGACCTAAGTGCTAAAAAACTTGACAGATAGAGATGTCAAACATATATGGAGCTGGAAATCAACACGGAAATGAACTACACACATTGTCTAAAACTCTCTGTATCTCTATTCAAAATGACTTGCAAATTCTTATCACATGATCATGCCCTTAGGCTGTCTTTGTCTGGCTTCTTCAAAAACACTAAGCTGTCCGGTTAAGTTTCCACGCCTTTAACAACCAGTCTTAAACACGCATTCCTATGTTTAGTTAGCTATTTGTTCAGTTTCATCAGAGCTCCAGGGCATCCTATCAAGCTCAAATAAAGACTTACAAATGATTCCTGATTAAATAGACAAAATGTTTTGAGTTTTAGACACAAATGTTTATGTGTCTCATGTGTAATTCCAGTAAGCATTTACTGTTCCAATGGTAGTAAATGAAACAAGTCTGCCTTTGCCTTTGTGGATCCTGTGTCTAATACTGGTTAAAACAGGTTGGAATTGGTAAAACTGGTAAAAACTGAGCAGAAACATACAAGGTGTATTAGAGTGATTGGTGCCTCTGAGACGGTATTTTTGCTATACAGATGTGTGATTCTTATAAACATTTTGCATGTGTGTGTGTTTTGTTGATGTGGTGAGGGATGTAAATCTGAATACACAGCTCAGGCACTGTGAATATTGAAGGTTAAAGGAAAAGGGGGTTGTAATTGAAATGTCTGGAGTATTAACTGTCTGTATAACCACATAGCTCAGTCATAGACAAATAGCATTTTAACAGAAAACACAAATGCACTTGTCAGTGATTATATACAGCATACACATACAAAATAACCTAATATACAAAAAATAAGGTTGTCAGTATAAATTTTTATGATACAAACACATTAAAAGGGAATGGAAATCTTTAAATTTTCTATTATAGTTTGATATAAAGATTATGTAACTAGTGCTCTTAAAAAACACATTAAGTACTTCTCATTTAATGTGTAAACAGAGTGATTTAAAATGGACCTCCATATAGGAATCAAGTCCATTTGCATGCATTGTAAATCATTTTTTTAAGAATGTATTTCCTTTTATATACCTGAAATTCATTTTTGAAATTTGAAATGTGTCATAGATTCCACTGCCAAGCAAAGTCCACATTAAAAAGAAATTTCCTTATAGTGACCATAACTGTGAAGTCAGTTTTAAGTTTTCAGAGGTAAGCCACTGCGCTGCGTACAGAGGGGTATCTGGAGTGGTAGCTGTAGTTGGTCGATGGCTGTCTTGACAACATTGGCTGCGGCTGGAGTTGCGGTTGGGGAAGTAGCACCAGCTGTTGAGGCTGTAGAGGCTGTGGAGTATAGGCCATGTAGTCGGGGGTTCTTGAGTACATATACCTCTCTGATTCTTTGTCTTCAGATTGCAGATTGCAACAAGTGAACATACATCCTCCAAAGAACAAGAAAGCAGATGCCACCCAGCCAATGTACAGAGCTTCTCCGAGCTCCCTGCGCTGGGCGTCGATCAGCAAGGGGTTGTAGAAGTCCCTTATGATGACATGACCTGTCCAGGACACGGGGATAATGACGCAGATGCAAGCCATTATGATCATACTTCCTGCAATGATGAGTACCAGTCGCTTAGCACGATCGTTGTTTTCGATACATGATGTGCACTGCAACCCCACCAAACTGATCAGCAGACCGAGTCCACCAAGTGCCAGAGCGCAGCACATAAGCCCCCTTGCCGCCTGTAGGTCAGGGGGGAGGGCCAGGAGAGAGTCGTACACCTTACACTGCATTCTGATGTCAGCCTGCCGAAAGCAGTTCATCCACAGACCCTCGTAGCGGGTCTCAAACACAATGATGTTCTCCCCAATGAAAGCTGTGACTCGCCACATTGGCATCCCAGTGCTTGCTGCCGCCCCAATCAGCCCAATTAGGGTCAGTATCAGACCCACTAGCTCCAGTGCTGAGTTGGCCATCCTGTCCTCCTCTTATTCCTCCAAGCTCATGCGTACAATAATGTGCGGACACGGTGTGACTATAGTAGGAAGCAGTAGAGTCCTCTATTGAGTGGCTTTGCATCCCAGTGGAGGAGGAGGAGCAGGTTGATGTTCACCTGTATTGCCTCCTCCCTGTGGACAGGACATCAGAATGGGAGGGGTGGGAATTGCGACCTGCTGCTAAGAAACAGAATCCCCCAAGGCCTTATTTTCTTTGTATACCTACCACAGGAGCTGCAGTAAGCGGCCACTTTGTTTATTCAGAAGTCTCAACTTACATTCTCAAGTTACAGTTGACAAGGACGCTTTTTAAGGGTGTTTATTAAAAAAACAGCTCAGTATTAG